ACACACACACACACACACACACAAACACTGCCTTTTACTTTAATGTCCATTACAACCAAGGACACCTCATCCACAGGACGGGTGCAGCAGCAGCACAATGTGAGGAGAAGAAAGCCTGACTAAGACGTGTGATAGTCCAGCGGGGTGAGGGTGCAGGGGGATCAGGGCCGCTCAATAACGCCGCTCCGACAATACGTCTGGAGCAGTGGCAGGGGTCTGGCCCACCGAAGCTCACTCTTTTTGAGATTCTCTATCTCTGTCTGGATCTTAATTGAAAATAGCAGGGGAGTGGGTGGAAGGGGTTTCAGAAAAGGGAGGCAAAGAGGAGCCGAACGTGCATTTATATATATATTTAGATCATTTGCAATTAAATCAAAAACATTTAGCAACTTAGCTGTGACACGGATGGAGAGGAGTCATGTTGATGAACCACAAGATCCAGGGTTTGATTAATTAGTTAATTTTTTTTACATTCTTTTCAAGGTTGCAGAAGGAGCTGCAGTCAAGGGACAGTTAGCCAGTTCCTCACTGGGCCACATACAGAGACAAACAACCGTTCACACAGAACATGTAGAGAACATGTAAACCTCATACTGGAAGACAGAGTTGGAACTGTTAAATTCTGTAGAGGACCTTCTTGCTCTAAAGCAATGGCCCTAACCACTCTCTAACCGCATGACCTCCAGAGATTCTGAAATCTTTTTTTTTTGTGGAGCAAGTTTGGGCCACGACCCTATGGTTAAGAACCACTTCCCTAAACAATTGTAAATCTCTTCTTCTCTGCTCTGTTTATTTTTTTAACATGCTGGCATCCCGTTGTTGCATGATTGCCCTCTTCTGGTCACTTGCAAAACATCACCTCAGTCGCAGCTCTCCGTTCGGGTTCATCTGCACTTTTGAAGGAGAAAATACTTCCTGTATGTCTGAGAGTCCAGTGTCAACGTGTCACTTTGCTGTCAGCCTTACCTGACAGTCCCGACTAGGATCATTCTGTCTCTAAGGACCAACTCTGTCTGACACCAAAAGAGAAGAAGGCGGAGCAGGAGCGGAGAGTGACAGCACAGATGTATTATTCATTTATTCGCCATCCCCCACTTTTCTCTGCTCATCATCACGAGGCTACAAAAACCCGGGCTGCCCTCCATTTTTTTCCCCTTTCCGCAGATGTCGTCTGTCTGAGCGTGACGGAGATGGTGCAGATGAGAAAGGATGCTCTTTCAGCCTGAATTTGAGATTTTCCTGGCTTTTGGCAGGATGGTGTTTATAGAGAATTGAACACGCACACAGGACACAGATGAAATTAAAAGGCCAGCAGGTGGGATCATGTCACACAGGTGCCGGCAGTTGGCAGTTGCATTAGTGCAATCAGAGCCGGGAATGAGAGACTAACAAACCTGAGCAAGAATGGTGTGAAGTCTGTGGGCAGATGAAGTGATTTCCAGAGGGAGAAAACCTGCAGACCTACTCAGCAGAGACTCGTGTGTTTGATCTGAAGTTATTCCACTCCGTACAGATATAGCATTTTGGTCGTCATATTTTCATTTTAAAAACTTCTCCTTTTAGCTACAGCTAGCGTAGTCTCTGTGTACTGGAGTTTGTTGAAATACTGACTGCAGTCCTGCAGCCCCCGAGGGCAAGACTGAAAGTTTTTGTGTGGCCTTTTAGGTGGCAGTGGCAGCCCAAGTTTGGACCACGACCCTATGGTTAAGAATCACTGTTCTAAACTACTGTTGATCTTGAATGTAAGTTGACTTAATTGTACATAACTGAGGAATTATTACTATTGGCTTTTCCCTTCATCAAACTTTACTACAGTAACTCTTCAGGTGTCAGGACATATATTAACATTTATATATATATATACTATATATATATATATATATATATATATACTGTATATATGTAATAAACATTGCAATAAAAACTGTCCAATCTGTTTTTGTTCCCACACTCGATAAAGTTGTATCCAAAAACAAACATTCCAGGGCTCAATTACAAATTCTATTTTCTTTGTGTTTCCGCTAATTGCTCGGTAAACGTTGGACGTAATCAGACACAGCTTTCCAATTTTGCTCCGAACCTGATGTTAAACACTGACGTCTTTTCGACGTCGAGTTAAAGAAAACAACCGAAAAGTGGATGGAGCCGGATGTCTATAATTACAGCTAGTAATTAATAATCAATCACCACATTACCATTTAACAGATGACTCATAGGTTGACTTTTTTTTTTTTTTACACAATCTATTTGTACAACGCACCTCTCCCTCCTCCTTCTTTAAACATTGTTCAAAAGCAATTTCCACCGTTGCGAGCAGATGTTTTCCCCCCCGAGTTCCAAACCCCTTATCATCTAAAATTAACCAGCCTGAGGATCGCTCACAGGCAAATCTACAGCTCTAACTTGAATTTTACATTAAGGTGTTTCCGTCTCCCTGGCAGGAAGTGAAACGTGTTGAGCTGCACGCTGGCCTTGTTGCTAAGTGGTGTGTGCTAAAAGCCTTCTGTGCCTATAATTCATCCCTGTGTCTTCACGGTTTTGTCGAATTATGATTTTTTTTCTTCTCTCTACCGCTACTCTGCTACTTTTTTTGTAACAACAGACCAGAATGGAGAATGTCTGAAAGTGTTCTACTATTTGAAAAAGTGCAGCTCTGTGTGATCGACTAGCGCGGCGGGGGTGGGGAGGGGGCTGCGAGGTGGTCTGTGGATTCATTTTAACACCTCAGAGAGAGGGCAAGAGGTTTGGAGGAACTCTGGGCAAGGTGCTCTCTAAATAGTCCTTCTGTGGTTTAGGCAGTTGACCGCATGGACGCATAGCTGGGGCAAAGAGCTTAGAGGTGCTTTCAATCATACGCCCA